TCCCATGTTTCTTTTAAAGATGCAACACGTTGTTGCACAGTCACAGTGTCTGAAGGGCACTAGTGATAGTGTGCATGGGAAACAGTTTTTAAGTAACTCAGGCTTCCTGTTTTCTCTGTGGATGGATAAAATTAAAAAAAAATTACTTTCATCTGATAAGTACATTTTGAAATTCCTTTGTGATTAATATTGGGAGTACTAACCACAAATATTTATTTAAATGTTTTATGGAAAAACATTCATGAGATGGGTTCAGGCGATCAGAAGGATGTTGCGGCCCCTGCTCAGCTGCTGCGTGATGAACGGCACATTTTTGTTACCATGATGACTTCTGCTGCCATCTCCTATCTGCTGGGTCACATTTCCAGCTAGATGCTCTGGGAATGCAAATTAATGTTAATACAAGCTCTAGCCAGGAATCATCAGTGAAGGCAGCTCTCCTGGAGAAGGAAATTTGCAGTGCCTTCTGGAAAATTCCATTCCTCTACTGGTCCGTGATTTGAATGGCTCTGACTCGGCTCCCTTGGGGAAGTGTGGATAATGCAATTCAGATGAACTCAGTGTGATGTGCGAGGTGCAGTGGGGAGTCTCGGGGCCACTGGGCATGGTGTGCGCCCACTAGTGTTTCCAGTCTAGGGAGGTTTGCCCAGCACACCCACAGGACCCTAATTCAAAGTGAAGAGGGAAAAAGGCGATTTACAAGAACATGAGCCACGAGTGAGCAAATGGCAGTGGGGTCGGGGTCAGGGAGGATGGGGACAGGGAGGGCTTCAGGGGGGAAGGGGATGCCCCTCAGGGGTTTTCCGCTCACCAGAGAGCCATGAAGAGCATCCGACGGGCAGATGGGAAAGTAGCCGGGCCACACGGACTGTGTCTGGGCACTGTTTGGCTTCCCATGTTGCTGCAGCATTGAGCACAGGTAGAAGCAAAAACAATTCATCCCTGGCAAAAGCTCTCAGCTGAGAAGTGAAAGGCAGCGCAGGCCAGGTCATATGCCATAGGGAGCAGAGGAAATGGCCTGGGGTAGGAGTCCAACGGAGGGGCTGCACTGGAGCAGGCCTGTGAGGTCAGGCAGGATGGTGGGATTCAGAGAGTGGATTGGTTCCCTAAGTGTGAACGCTCCTGGGTTAAGGAAGAACAGCAAATGGGACCAACCAGGTGGGGCTGGGGTGGCAGGGTCAGGTGGGGAGGGGCCTGGCTCCAGGGAGGCTCTGAAGCTGGGTACCCATCTCAGCGGGAGATGGTTAGGGACAGGTTTGAGGAGATGCAGTGGGCGTAGGGTGAAGCCATAAACATGCCAATGGGGTGGTGAGGGCTGCCACCCACTGGCCACAGGTACTGAACCCTGCTGCCTGCAGGTGTTGTACCCCTTCTGTCTACAGGTGCTGATGCTTCCCACTTGCTTTCACACTGTCCTACTTTGGATTTCATCTGCAAGGCTGGCCTCTGAACATGACCCAATCCCCAGGCACTGTGTGGCAATGATGGAAGAGCCTTTCTTTGGCCCCTAGGTAACTCTAGTGGACCGACCCGGTGGAGCCCAGGCTTGGGCAAGAGAGGGGCCCTCATGTCGGAGACTTGGTCTTGTGAGAGGCTGAAAGCAAAGCCCTCCGCCACCTTCCTCCTGACCTCCACCTCAGCTCCCCTCCTCCAGGACTCAGCCACTGCGCCTTCTCCTGATGACTCCCTCACCTGCCCTTGGCTGCACCTGACCACAACTTGCCTCAGTTCCGAGTGAGGCAGTGGCACACCACTCAGAAGTGGTGTATGCAGTGTCCGCTAGCCTCCTGGGCCTCACGTCCCTGGAGCTCTTTGTTCTCTGCATCTTCACCCCCCACCCCACAGAGGAACTGAGCTCCCCTGGGACCTCTCACACTGTGCTTTTACCTCCTCGCCCAGCTGCACCATGACCCGCCTCATCCTTTCTACTCACCTGACTGCATGGAGGTCTCCTCCATCAGGAGCCGGCGACTGTGGCCAGGCCCTTCATAATGCTGCCTCCTGGTCCCTCTGTCATCCCCAATCATCCATGAACGTTCCCCTGCCCCACATAGGGACTTCTTACCCTCATCAACACTCACACACACACACACACACACACACACACACACAGCACTTGACCCTGAACCTCAGAGCTGCTCAGAATTCATCTATAAACCTGAAGCACCTGTCCCCTGGCCTTGCCAGAATCATTCCTGCAAACTCAGGGACTTGCATCTCCTGGCTTTGGCAGCGGCTCGAGCTCCCACCTGAACCTCCGGGTCTGTCCCTGAGCCAAGTCTGCTGTGAGCCCTGATCAGAGGCAGGGAGCCCAGCACCAAAAGCAAGCCTGAGTCTTCTTAGCAGACGCCTTGACACGGCAGCCAGCGCGCGCTCACGCTATGATTTATTAACTAATTTAGCATGTAAGAAAAACATCTGCATCTCGCTTTTATCATCCTGCCAGCAGACAGGCTGAAGACGAGATATGCACTGCAGACTTGTTTAACGGGCCCTTAAATGTCCCCTCTCACTTGCCTGAGCTCACACGAGGCTCTGATTTCAGAAGATGTCTGATTTAACTGACCTGACACAAGCAAACATGAAAGCAAAGCTCTCATCACACCTAAGTACCTCGGGGATGACAGGCAGGAGTGGCCACACACCCAAGCTGGCCACGTCCCCTTGAGCACATTCCAGTCGCCAGGGCTGTCTTGGAATTTGGGGTGTAAAAAGGTGCCTCAGTTAGTTAACACCACTGATGGGGCTGGATCCCCTTTTTATAATACACAGCTTTAAGATTTTCATTTATAAGAAGGTGAACTTGTGAGGATAATTGTTTTAGGGGAAACATCAAAGTTGATTGATGCTGAATTGTGACCCTCCCCCCCCAAAAAAAATACATCAGAGTCCAACCCCCACCCCCTGCCTCTCAATGTGAACTAGCTGAGGCTAGATCTTGTTGTGACCTTCTTAGGAATATGGTCCTTGCAGATATAGTCAAATTGAGATGAGGTCATGCTGGGTTAGGCGGACCCCAGCCCCATGAATGAGAAGAGGAAATCAGGACACAGGAGGAGGCCACAAGAAGACACAGGCAGAGAGGGGAGGGAGGGAGGTGCTCCCAGCCAAGTCGCCAGGACAGCTAGGAGCGATGGATGCTGAGAGGGGGCCATGGGTCGCTTCCCCTGAGTCTCCAGAAGGAGCCAACTCTCTAGACACTGGCCCCAGAATGAGTGTACATTTCTGGGATCGTAAGCCACAGCAAATACTCCTGATGACCAAGATCACATCACCTGGGACACTCAGGACACTTGAAAGCCCCAGCCCGGGAGAGAAGGAACCCATCCTGGTACCTTCTAGGTTTGGGTCTGAAATGTGCCCTGGCTGGAGCTCTTGGAAGGTAGTGGGAACTTTAATAAGCAGGCCTAGCAGGAGGGTTCAGGTCCCAAAGACGGTGCCTTCAAAAGGGTAGAATCCTGGTGATTCTTTCTCCCTTATGCTTCCTGGCTGCTAGGCAGTGAGCAACTTTTCCCACCACACACAATTCCACCATGATGTGCCACCTATATCATAGGGCCAAAAACACTGGGGCCAACCAACCATGGACTGAAACCTCCCAAACTGTGAGCAAACGTAAACCTTTTCTGTTTTTAAGTTTATTTATCTTGGGTATTTGCCACAGTGATGGAAAGCTACCAAACACCCCCACATTACACAAGTTTCCTCCTGCCCTGGCTCTGGGTTCCTTCCTACACAGAGGGAAGACACTTGGCTGAAAAGGAAGACCCTTAGATCCATTAGGTCCGTGAATGTGAGTATGGTACACTCTAAAGTGATCTCATATTGTGTTTGCTGACAGTAGCTTTGGTTGCATGACCATTTTTATCAAGCAGCATCATCAGAACTGGAGAGAGTTAGTGGCCATTCAGCATGGACACCACCACCCAGCCTGCCCAGAGCAAGCACAGCACTGCAAGACAGGACACGCCCACTTGTGGCTGGCTTTCAGTCCTTGCAGCACTTGAGAAGTCCGTGCCTGAACCCAGTTGCTCTTTGTGGAGCTGAGGGTAGACAGTCCTCTGCCAAGGACCATGGGAGCAGCAGGAATTCTATGATAACACCCTTTTCCTCCTGTCCCCCCAATGACCCTTATGGGACCTTGGTAATGTTCGCTAAGCTGCACTTTATTGAATATGGTCATTTCCCCAGAGGAATTTTATTTAGAATTTTACTCATGATTTCACTTCCCGGGGTCCAAAACATTTTCCTAGGAAGAGAGAACTCATTCCTTTGTCCAAAGGAATAAAACTGAGGTTTCTTCAGGCCTCCTGAGTCTAACATTTGGGTTGGCAGGCTGTGAAGTGTGCACTCTAGTGTCCCCCACCCTTGCCTCATCTTTTCTTGTGATTCTTGCTAGTTTAATAGTCTGTTTATAAGGTCCATGAAAGAAGGAGTGAGGTCAGTCTTGCTCACTGTGGTGTTCCCAGCTCCCTGCATGATGCTCGCCCAGAGAAGGATCCTGATAACGCCTTCTCCCATGAGAGTGAGTGCCCTTCCTCCCAGGGCAGCTGGACCCTGGCCTCACAGTGCCCCACGAGCGGGCCATCCCTTGTCTGAGCTCGCAGCAGGGAAGGGGTTTCAAGATGACGAATGTTGATGTAGACAAGCTGGAGTCAACCTCTGGCCCTGAGACGTGTTTTGCAATCTATAAAGGGCAAAGGGGATCTCTTGCAAACACGAGTTAGGAGCCAGGAATGTGAACTTGCTGTCCTGGCTGCTGTGGTGGTGTGGCTTCTTTCCCAGCTAGAGTGGTAAACTGTGTCCCATGATTTTTCTGAGCAGTGAGATGCCCACATGGAATCTCTCAAAATGGGCTGGTCCCAGAACAGGCTCCATGACACCAAGGGTCGTTTCTGCATGTGTCCATGGCATTGTTCGGAACCACCCTCCCAGGAGAAGGCTCAGGCCCCAGGGTCCCCTCCCTGTCTCCTCCATCCTCCCAGCCACCTGTGGCTCACCACTGAGAGGATGGGGAACGGTGAACTGCTTCTTGTTGGCGCGCACGGGGAGCCGGCTCGGCTTCTGCTCTGGGTGCTCCGTCTGCTGGGCCTTCCTCTGCTGCACCATGCGCTCCAGCTTTCTCAGCCGCTCTTGAGAGCGAGAAATGAACTGAGGCCTGTGGGCCTCCAGCGCTTCCTGGTGGGAACACAGAAAAAGTCTTATTTTTAGGATAAGTGACATCAAAAGGCAACACGTCCATCCATTTGGCCAAGAGAAGCCAATCAAAAGTGTGACGTTCAGAGACATTTTTCTGCCATGACCTCACATAAAGGTTACAGTTGTGTGGACAACACGGGTCCTGGTGGTCAGTTCTGGCTAGCACCCAGAGCCCCGGTGCAGTGGCACCCAGCAGAAACTAGCACCCAGATCATGAGAACAGCTGCCCCTTTTACTTCCACCACTCAAACCGCTCATTGCCAACAGACCCAAATCTGAGTGCCCGGTGTCCCCCATTCCAGAGAGACATGGGTGGGGACAGACTGCAAGCTCTGAGTCACTGGCTCCTGGTAGGGATTGAAGCCTTTAAGGCCACAAACATACATCACCCATCCAACCAGGTGGAAATGGGCCTTTCGGGAGAGGCTATGACCGTGGCTGGGGGACAGCAGCTCTCCCCCGGGTGGAAGGGCTGGGAGGGAATCTCTGCCTGTGCAGAATGGTCTCTGGGCTCCAGGACAGGTCAGAAGTCCTACCACGCCACGCGAGCCCCGTGCCCCCACCTCCCTATGCCAAGCCACTCACACAGGTTTGCTGAAGAGACTGAGTGCCACCATGCCAGACCTGGCTAGGTGCTCTCTGGGGACTTGTCCCTTGGAATCCCCACATTCCTTCTGGAAGGCAGGTGTGTTTATTCCCACTGGACAGATGCAAACACAGAGGTAGCTGGTAGCTTAGAAGATGGCATGGCGGCCCTCAGCTGTGCCAGTCCTGTGCTTTTTCCTGTGCCACCTTTCCTGATGTAACTCCTGGTCTCTGAATGACTCTGCTCAAGCCGTCCCCCTTCCTGAGGTACCATGCACAGCCATGCCGTTGGCTGAGTTCTGACCCTGCTAGTAAGCCCTGTTGGATCTTCCTGTTTTGCCCGAGCATCCCAGGGCCTCACAGGCCACCTTGTGCAATGATGAATCACACATGCTCTTCTCCATGCGAGGCTGTGAGCCCTGGAAGCCTGGGCATGTCCCACTGACAACACGTCTCTCACAGGCCCTGCCCTGAGCTCCACAAAGGCTCTCTGGGCATGCTGCTCTGACCCATCCTCCCCCACCCCACTGGAACTCAGGGCTCCCTGGGACAGGACATGGTGGCTTCCATCTGTGTCACATATGTGTCCCTGGCAGCTGTGGTAGAAAAGGAGTCTCCTTGCCATATGCCAGCTGTGGCTGCTGGTGGGACAAGGCACCTGTCACTGGATGTACTGATGTCAGAGGAGGTCCCAGCTGGAGAGATGGCCCTGTGGACACCTTGCTGGCCCAAGAGTGGCCGCTATGCATCTGTCCTCCCCCTTGAGGATAGCCCTGGAGCCTCAGAAGCTTCAGGGCACCATGAACACTTCACAGGGCCCACTGAGCCCCCAGGGTGCAGGAGCTGACCAGTGGAGCCATCTCCACCTCTGCAGGGACAATCACAGCAGACCCAGCGCCTGCCCTGGGGTGTGGCTGGCCATCAATACACCATGGCAGGTCTGAGTTCGTTTGCCCTCCTAATTTTTATAACTTAAAAAAATGTGCACATACCATTTTTATAATTAGGAAACATCCAATCACATCATCTCTATCCTTCACGTCACGGCCACCTGTTTTTGGAAACTTCCTTAATTTTTCAAAGTCTCATCTGAAGATAGGGTATTTAGGGACTCCTGCCTGCTAAGGGTCATTTGAGGATCAAAGGTGCTGAGGCCTATAAAGCGTCCTGTGTAAACTTTGAGCCCCTCTGTCATGGCTATGATCACTGTCACTGTGGATAGCATTTGATCCTGATTCTAACCTGTGGAGTCAGTGTCTCTAGATCCATTAATCAAACAGAGAAGCAGAGGCTAAGAAAGGTTAGGGAAATTGCCCAGTGTCCCACAGCCTCTAGGAAGGGGAATCAGCTTCCAGCCTCAGAGCCCAGGGAAGGCCTCCCCGCCTGGCAGGAATCTGACTGGACACACAGAGGCCTTACCTGCAAGGTCAAGGAGTTGGCAGGCGTTTGCTCAAGCTCAGAACCCTCTTCTGACAGGTTAAAGGTCTCTGCTCCCTGGGGGGCTGCTGGTGAGGGTGGCTCTGGTGAGGGCTCAGGCACAGTGGGCTCCTCACTCTTCTTACATTCTTTTATTTTTACAACCAGGTCACAGCACGTGTAATCTCCTAGGAGAAATTTAGAATTCCATTTAGAGGGCACCGGAGGATTCTCGCCTGGCTCCTCAACACTATCAGACACAGAAGACAATTTTGAAAATAGAAACGCCAGTGGGTTATTAATGGTCCTCGTTAAGCCAACAAGATGAGGCCTCGTCACAGACGCCCCAGGCAGCACTGGTCCCGAGGAAGAACCTTCAGTCATCTCCACTTCACCACTGGCTAATTATGTCATGGAGGTATTCCTGCTCCTGGTGTTTAGAAGGCCTTGCTCAAATTGAGAAGAAACTTTCCTGTTCTGGGCTTCCTTTTAAGTGTGCCCTGCACGTGGCCACAGTTGGGTTGCTTCAGGACAGAGTGTTGATCTGTCTCGTGTTTTCCGCGGTAATGATATAAGGACGGGGGACGGTGCTCGGTCACTCATCCTCCCCTTCGTTCTCCACAGTCTGCTGCCAGCTTTACGTAAGTGATTGGAATGATTGCTCTCTCAGGGCTGGTTCCAGTCCCTTCCTGGGGCCATTTTGATTTTCCTTTGTGGAAACAGTCAGGAAATAGTAGATTCCTCAGCACCTCAGGTAAGGGCAGCCTCTGAGGGGGTAGGAGGGAGATCCGCAGCACTCACTGGCCCCTTCCTGACCAGCACTCGGCCTGGGACACACGAGGGATCTCTATCCTTAGCCGCCCCTTCCCAGGCTCCCTCTGCTGCTCTGCGTGCACCCTCCCCACCGACCACAGCCACACCACCCCTCGCCCTGGGCCTGGCAGCACCTTGCTTACTTCCCACCTCCACACACCCCTTTGACTCCACTGCCCCGTGATGTCCGGCCTGCAGCCCCAGCTCCAAGCTTCCAACCTCCAGGGCGCCTCCTCCCTCTGCAGGCAGAGCCCAGGCCTGACTCTGCTGTGTTTCCGCAGGGGAACACCTTTTGCCCACCCAGCAGCAGGCGCCATGAGGTGGGGTCAGAAGATGCGGTTTAACCCCACCCGCCTGAGGCTCTCCAGGGACTGGACCACGTCCTATTCAGTCTCCATCTGCCAAGAGCTCCACACCAGGTGCTTAAAAGGAGTTAGCCCTTCTAGGATAGGTGAGGTGGCCTCAGGAGTCTCACGGGCCACCAGATACAGCTCATACAAACCAGGCTGTCACTGTCACTTTATCCTCTGTGGCAGGACTAGCTGTACTGTCCACTCAAAATCCATCAACATTCCCTACTCCCTACAGCCCAAGCTGACTGGACCTTCAGGCCTTCATCTTGTGAGTGTCCACCTCACTGAGATTCTCTCCCAACACCACTCCACTTGGAGGCTCCCACACCATCTGTCCTTTGCTCTCGTCCTACTGGAGGACTTCCCCATGGTCCCTCCACTTTAGGAGTGACCACTAGGCCCAGTTGGCTGAGAGCTACCACTCAGCCGCCAGGCTGGCCCCTCCCACGTGCCCCCCCCAGGCCTTGCTGTGAGGGTGTTCTCCAGCTCATGGGGAAGCCACAGGCCTCTGGCTCCCTCTCCACTGTTGTCCCCACCAGCATAACCAGCTGCCCGAGGGCCAGTCCTAACAGTCCTGTCTTCCTCGCTGCTCATCATAAGACCTGTCTGTCAGATGCAGAAGGTCTCCACCACAGTGCCCCTTCCACCCAGTGACCCTCTGCTGTCCTTTCCTGTTGGGTCTCGGCTCAGCCTTGCCCTGCTCTTGTCCGCCCACTCTGCTCCTGAGACAGTACCTTTAGAGCGAATCTCGCCGTGTCTTCTCCCTGCAGGGCCTCAGTCCTGCCTTCAGTCCAGACCCCCTTGGTGGGTTCAGAAGGGTCTTCTGACCTGACCCATGGGACTCTTGATGACCACACCAGGCCCCGGCCCTGCACATGGCACCTGCGCATGCCCCTTGCCGCTCCGTGTTAGCCCTTGCCTTTCCTGAGCTCCGAGGGTGTGAGCCTCCCCTGCCTGCGGTGCCCTCTGCCCTCAGGTCTGATTTTTAAATCTCTAAGGTTTCAGGGAAGGCTTCACCTTCTCTTCAAAACCATTTCTGAGGGGAAGACGCCTCTGCCCAGACCGTCCCTGAGTGCCAGGGCCGTCCTCAGCTTCCTCTGGGCACCCCTCAGACGCAGCCCTGCTGCCGACCCGTCCGCACAGGACTGAGAGCCTGGAGTGGACACACTGACCACAGAGCCTGGCAGGCAGTGGCTGTTTAATAATTGCTTCTGTGATGGGCTAATGAGGGAAGAGTTAGGGATCAATTTAGGTTCCGAGTGACATAATTTTTTATTAATTATAATCAAGCCTCTTTCTTTCTGCCCTTTCTGTAGTTGTTTGAGAACATCTTCAGAGTAACAGGACACCCTGTTCTTATGCTGACGTAACAGGGCACCGCAGACCATCCCATCACATGCTTGTGTCTCTTTATGCATCGTTGTTCTCTGCACATTCAGGTGGCCAGCAGCTCGACCGCCCGAGAGACTGCACCTGTGTCCTACTGGGTTCCCTCCTCTGAGAGGCCGCGAACAGGACCTGCCTTGAGGGCATGGAGGTCCATGTGCTCATACTGTTGAGTGTCACATGGCCACACTCCTATATCGTGGTCCCTGCCCATGAATCATCAGGCCTGGGTCAGTCTGGCTGTCTCCCCAGCAGCCATTTCTTAGCAAAGCCAGGGAGCCTGCTGTGCACCTGCAGGTGGCCTTTCAGCCTCAGCTGGTACCAGCTTTGTTCTAGGTAGGGTGGGGACCCATGGCCCACGTGGGGCTGCCTCTGGCTGCGCACAAGGTAGAGCTCGGCCACTATGAAGCCTCATGGCTCTGTTCCCTCTCTGCTCTCATGCCTCCGTAAGGCCAGCAGGTGAGCCGCAGTGGGGAAGGCTCTGCGCTGCCTCCCACGAGCATCAAGAAGGGACCCCCTGGACCGCCCCTGCTCCTTACCTTCGGGAAGCCCTCTTTCTATCTGAGCACCATTGTCTTCCTGCAGAGATGGCCTTGCCTCTTGCAAGGGGCACAGAAACCCAGGCATAGGGACTTTGGGACTCAGGAGGCTTGGATGTTGTCTCTCTCTGGGCTCAAAAAGGTCGCTAGACTCACAGTCATCGCTTGGTGGCCTGTCCCCATCGGGAGGGAAAGGTTTAATGGGCTTCTGTTCCTCTGGGGGAGCAGACAATGACACACACGCTGCTCCGTGCTGCTCCTTGGTGCTTCCAGAATATACTTTTGTTTCTACTAAAAATAAAATGAAAGTTGTGCTCAAAATATCGGCCAAGACCACATCTGAAGTACTGAGGTCTATCGCCCCCCGCTCTGGAAACGGCAGAGAGCTTTGCAGTCAGGGCCCCATGGGAGGTTTAGCACCTCGACTATGGGGCCAAAGTACCTGGGTTCAAATCCCATGTCTGCACTACCCAGCCTCCACTATCATGTGGGTAATAATAAATTAATAATATTAAATGGCATTCATTTACTTTTTTACATCACCCACTTTATATAATAAAATGTAATATATTTTATATAGTTTACTTAATTATATATATCAAAAATATCAACTATTAAAGTGGAGGTACTAATGTAATAATAATGCACGTGAAGTGTTTGGTTCAGTACCAGCATTTAATAAGCATTGTTATTGTTATCATTGCAGGAATGCTGAGGCCAGGCAAGCTCCTGGGGCCAGCACAGAGGTCGACCTGCCTCATTAGGTCACTGCACAGTCCACAGGCAGTGGGCCCACAGGCGTGTCCAGCGTGTTGCCTGCCTCCGCGCCGTGGCAGCAGAGTTGGACACTGCCTCGAGCCCACCAGCAGTGGACGGGGTCAGTAAATCATGTGTGACATGCTTCACAGCAGTTAAGAAGAATGAGTCCACGTGGAATGATCTCTGCAACAAAAGTCGTTAGGGGACTCTCGCTCTGTTCCCTCCAGTCCCTTCTCCACAGTAAAGAAAGGGGCACGACCCCTGGCTCTGGCAGCAGCCCCGAGCTTCCAGCAAGGCCTTGGGGCTGCGGAGCCTCCCGGCCCGTCCCCCTGAGCCTCTGCATCCCAGCTGAGGGAATCCACTTCTGGTGAGGCCAGGCCCTCAGCCTGTGAGAAACCCAAAGACTTTGGGACCAAGCCCCCACCCCCAGCACCCTCCTGGCTCTGGGGTCCAGCCCAGGAGAGTCAACTTGGCAGCTCAAGGTCTGATTCACCCAGGGGGTAAACTGGGTTTTCCATGTTCTTCTGAACAAACAAAATGTAGTGACGTTCCGACCAGGTTCCAGGGGGGGTTGACACATTGAAAGGATTAAAAAGTACATAATAAAATAAATAAACAAAAAAGGCAATTGTGATTAGATCTTGTCATTTGGAGAGGAGATTTATCCACCAGTGGCAAAGTTGCACTTTGCTAAATTGTACGGAAATAGCTTTCCAAACTTTTACCTCAAAAATCATCAATTCTATTTAAGTAAAAAACAAGTAGGCAGAAAAAAGCCCTAAAATAGTCATTCCTTTCTGCATGGCCTCTTTTGATTCGAAGCTCTCTTAAAGAATCCAGAAACAAATTAGTTATCAGTGATGAGAGACTCAGTCTGGCTGATGGCATAGATGCATCCTGTGTTTGGTTCTTTAAGCTGGTATATTTATTTACAGATTCGTGGACATAAATCTATTTCATCTGTGTATTACCTATTGACCTTTTCATCTATCATCTGTCTGTCTGTTGTAGTTTGGATTTTAAATGGCCCCCCAAAGCCCTTGTCCTAAAGCCCCAGTTGGTGCCACTGGAAGTGGTGGAACCTCAAGCAGTGGCCCGGTGGAGGACGGAGGTGGGAGGGGGATCTGGGCGGCTGGCCTCTCCTCTGCTCTCCTCCACCCCAGCCAGGAGGTGAATGGTCTGCTCCCCCATGAGCTCTTACCAGGATGTGCTGCCCACCCCACACTCAGGGTCCCAACACCAGGGATCCACCCAACTGTGGACTGCGGCCTCCCACACTGTGAGCCAGACCAGCGTTCCCCCGGGCGCTGACTGCTGGGGTCTCTGCACTGATGGAGAGCTGTCGCTGCGGTGGGTCCATGCACATTCTCCTGGGAGTGGCCCTGTGTGTGGCAGAAGTTCCACTAGTGGCTCGAGAGCGCTAAACCAATGGTAGAAAGTAGAACGGAGTTCGCTTACTGGAGGAAAGAAAAACATGCGGCCAAGGAAGAGCTTTCCCACAGCTTTAGATTGGGCCTCTTTTTGTGGACTCTGAAATGCAGAGCAGGACGGTGTCGCAGGCTGGCCTTCACAGGGTGAGCATGTGCCCCGTCTCCGCCCGCACACTATGCAGACAGACTGGAATTAAGAGCTCTTTAGTCGTGCCCTACGTTTTAAACCACCTCACCCCAGGGAAGACCCGCAGCCACTGTGGGCTCTGAAGTGGCCTGTGTCCGGCATTTCTGTTTCTCCACTAAAGCTTTGTGCCTCCTTCCTGGGTCTGGCATGTGGCAGAGCTGGGGTAGCACAAATTTCCTTAAGAGTAATGTTCTCATATTCCTTTTCCTAAAGTCAGTTGATAGTCCACAGCTCAACCATCCACAACCTTGCCTATCCCAGAATTGAGCTGTGGACCAGGGTGAAAGAAAACCAATGAAAGTGTTCTGTCCGACAGTTATGAATGGCTTCTACCAATTTCATGTCCTTGACTCAAAGAAGAGACCCTTGGACCATAATGTGCGGCCTGTCTATGCTTTCCTCAAGCTCATTGTCAATGAAAAATGCACTGCATTTCCAATGTCAAGTTAACAGGGCACCCACCGAGCCACCTCCTAGGCGAAACGTTACCCAGGCTTCGGACATGACCTCTGAGCCCCTCCTGGGTGGTGCCCACGTTCTTCCCAAACACAACCTCACACTGAATCAAACATTACTTTATTAATTTCTTTTGTCTTCAGGACTCCTTAATCAATATGCTCTTCATACCAAAATCCTGAATAGCCAGCACAAAGCCAGTTGTTTTCAGGGAAGGATGTCATTGTGTCTCTTAGACAAAAGCTTCCAGCAGAGAGTTCAACAGATTGGCTGAGCCATAGCGTCTTTGGGAGCATATGGATATGATTCTGGGGAAGGTATTGTAAGTCATGTCCTGAACATGGGGGCTGACCCAGGTGGGCATCAGGAAGGCAGGTTCAGGCACATTCTCCCAGGAGTGGCTCTGTGTGTGACACTCAATGGCCCCAGGCAGGTAATTGTCACATAGAACTCACTTTAGAATCATGTGTGGTAGGTATGGGGGCTGGCAGGAATAGGATCAGGAGAGTGGGCCACTCCAGATTTTCTGCTCTTGACCTTGACCTGTTCAACTGAGGGCCTTGGGGACAGGTTTTAATGCAGGACATTCTCCACAGTCAAAAGCACATCCTAAGCCAACCCAAGCAGCAGGGCAGGTGTGGGAGAGCAAGCCCCTCAGCAATCCGTCATCCAAATCAGCTGAGACCAGGCATGAACCTGGGGTAGACGAGGCCCAGCAGCCAGTGCAGGCCTTTGGAGCAGCGTGAAAATGAATGGCCCTTCCTCAGCACTCTACCTGCCCCACCAGAAAGTGTCTCTGGTATAAACCGATTTTATAGAACAGGCACTCTCCTGCTTCTTTCCCGGAATGAAGGAGACCCACAGATCTTTGGTGGCCTTCAAGGAGCCCTTCTTGAGCCACTGGCCCACCATGGGCACAGTTCTAACAACGTGGTACTTTAGTTCACATTAAGCCAGAATGTGCTGAATGGTTGCCAAGAAGGACCAGCACAGCTGCAGGACTCTGTCACCCAAATTGCAAAAGAAGAGCAAGAAAACCATGAATAGTAGACACACAAGCCCAGAGAGGACAGCTGACCGGGACACTCAATGGCCCAAGGTAAGTAAATGTCATATAGAACTCACTTTAGAATCATGTGTACACAAATCAGTTTAAATTTTGTTAAAGGTGTTGAAGATGAAACGACATCTCTATAGAACATTCATCCTGGTAGAGAAAGATTGTCTCTCGAGGTTTTAGGGGCTCAGCTTTGTGCAGATTCCTGCCTTCTTGAAACAGATTTCAACCATCCAACTAACCAAAGAGGCATTTCTGAACAAAGCAGGCCTCGTTGAATCTAAGACATATTCCTCCCTCCCCAAGTTCAATGCTGCTGGTGGTGATATTCCCCTTTGACAGCTGGATCGCCTTACAACTAACTGCCTGTTTCTTAGTCATGCAGTAATTGAAGCGTGTGTGTGTCTCTGGGCATTAACATAAACACTGATTCCTGAACTTAACTGCAGGTGGGCCTCAAGATCGCCTAAAAGTTCCAGCGCTATCTGCCTCTACCCTGTGTAGCCCTAGGCTGCTCTCCACCCCCCAGCCTTTTAAAGCCCGCTGTCTGCATTACATAGAGCTAACCATCTCACCTTCCTTCTTCACCTGTTTCTTCTCCATCAGCAAAGCCCAGAACTGTAGCATCAAACTGGAAACCAAATAAGTGGGCTTGATGGAGTGGGTGTCAATCAGATAGAAATCTGCTCTGAGGGACACCTGTGGGTGAATGGAGGACTCTCTCTTTCAGTAGGATTTTGCCGTCCCTTCTTTTGGCACTGGGACATGAGAGTGCTGCAGTGGCAGGCTGGGAAGTCCACTGCATGGTGCATGCGCATGGATGGACACAGAAGTCACCAAAGAGGAAGTAAGATAGGAACAACCGGAGCTCAATAAGCACATATTATGGTTTGGATCTCAAATGTCCTGAAGGGCCATGTGTTGAAGGCTTGGTCACCATCTTTAAAAGATGGGGCCTCGTGGAAGGAAGTCAGGTCACAGGTCCATGCCTAGAAGGAGTTTCCGTGACCCGGCCTCTTCCACTCTCTCTCTCCTTCCTGGCCGCCATGATGGTAGCAGCTTCGCCCCTCCACATGCTCCACTGTGATGTGCTCTCTCACCCTCAGACAAGCAGCCAATCAACCACGGACTGAAGCCTCTGAAACCGTGAGCCAAAATAAATCCTTCCTCCTTTTAAGTCACTTTTATCGCAGGTATTTTGTTGCAGTGAAAGACAGTTGACTAACACAATGCGCAGCTTCCTAGCAAGTTTATTATTCTTCTCCTTTCAAAGGAGAGAGACAACCTGAAACGCCTTCAATTGCAACACATGGAAAACGAAATGAAAGAAAGCAGAGTTAGCTGGTGGCCTCTGGAGAGACAAGTCAGGGAAAACAGAACATGGCTATATGTGCAAGGCTGG